TGACCTTAGGCCTCTGGTTAGGACCCGGAAGGAAATGAGTACACAACAGAAATCAAAGGAAATAATAATAATAATAACGTACAAAATATGAATAACGCAAAATCCTTCGGAGGATTTAAGATTCGAAACGATAATCTATCCTTGAGCAGAAAATCAGAATTATAGTGAAGTATGAGAAGAAAAAAAAATCAGTCACACTTAATTGATATCTCTGTCCTAGTTGGTCCTCGTTCAAAATTAAAAGTAAGCGAGGAAACAGTTATTTTATCTGGACGCCGTTAGGGAACTGAAGATGTTACAGAACATAAAATTGACGGCTGTTCCCATAGTTGTTAGATCACTAGGGACGATCACAAAAGGGATGAAGCAACCGGAAATCTAAAGAAGAATCACTATGCGTCACTATTTAAAATATCGAATAGAGACGAGATTGAATGATTGAGGAGACTTGTAGTTACTTGATCCCTAATGTTAATTTATTAACCATATCAATGAGCGAATAAAGATGTAAAACATTATTTACGTTATTCGGACTATTGTCCTCATTTTTGTCGCCATATTTATGACAACGTTTCGCCCGTTGTACGCTCAATACCCGGTTAAAGCTGTGGAGAACTTGGAGAGGGGAATTAACAGGAGATAACTGATAACTGACATCCATTAAACATGGCACATGGAACTAGAACAGTCTACCCCAGTGAGCGAAATAAAGGGTTCAGTTCGACTTTTCGACCACCTGAAGAAGGCCGGAGCGTACAACGGCCGGAACGTTTCAATAAATATGGCGACAAAGATGAGGACAATAGTCCGAAAAATGTAAATAGTGTACATAATACCTCATCTCAGAATTATAGACAGATACTGAAAGGCCGAAACGTTGTAATAAATATGGCGACAAAGATGAGGACATAGTCCGAATAGTGTAAATAGTATACATAATACCTCATCTCAGAAATATAGACAGATACTGAAAGGCCGAAACGTTGTAATAAATATGGCGACAAAGATGAGGACAATAATCTGAATAATGTAAATAGTGTACATAATACCTCATCACAGATATATAGACAGATACTGAAAGGCCGAAACGTTGTAATAAATATGGCGACAAAGATGAGGACATAGTCCGAATAGTGTAAATAGTGTTCATAATACCTCATCTCAGAAATATAGACAGATACTGAAAGGCCGAAACGTTGTAATAAATATGGCGACAAAGATGAGGACAATAGTCCGAATAGTGTAAATAGTGTTCATAATACCTCATCTCAGAAATATAGACAGATACTGCAAGATGTAAAACTATAATTATAGAAACCATTGAAGTGTTTTTAAATTAAAAATATATTCAAACTGGTGAAAATACTGAGTAGGTTGCTGGGATTTCGAAAATTAATTATTTTGCTTGAACTCTACCAGATTCTACTTATAAAGAAATTAATGTTATTATGGCAATGCTAATGACAATATTAGCTGTTTCCTTAAAAGCGTTCATTGACTGAACAGCCCGCGTTATTTTCGGTTGAAATTTATAAAATCTTTCTCTGCAATGGATTTTTCAGGAAAATAAACTTCTCACTTGCAATAACTGTTATCGATCTTTCCTCTACTGAATGTTAGGGCAGGTCGCTTTTGGAAGCCTGGTATTGCACTCAATTTTAAAGTTGACAAGTTAAAGCGCAAATTATTATCGTTTTTTGAGGAGTTTAAAGATTGAGTTTAGGTTCAAAACTGGGACGTGGCAATTTCATTCCAGTGATCAGTGGAAGCTGTATCACACAGCTTTATAAAATTTATAATTTACTGATGCTTTACAAATTGTATACGAACAAGATACATATACACAAGCATATTAGATCACTTCCAGGCGGTGTAATGGTTAGAAAGCTTGTCTCGCTAGATCAATTACGGCTGAGTAGTGAGTTTGACTCTCACTGGGTGCCCCCTACTTTCGGCCTGGTGCCACATCTAAGCTACGCTTGGAAAATCACTACACAAGCGTATTATTACCAAATCATTATGCATTCAATTCAAAGGAAAATTATACTGAACAATTTAACGATATTATGATGATATACAGTGCAGTAGTTTTAGTGTGATTTTCAATAAACAATACAACTTTAAACACATTTTATCTTATAATTTGTGCCCAGCACAATACGCAATTTTATCTATGCTTTTTTTTTTTGTTAATTATAGTCTAACAAATGATTTAAAAATCTTATTCACTGAGTAGACTTTTTTTAGTTTTTAATTATCGAATACAATAAAAGAATTGCATATTTTACATGTGCCTATTCATAGGTAGAATTTTGGCTTGAATATATTTTTCATTCAATATATCTAATGCAAAAGATATCAACTTTATTTGGATTTTTTTCTTGAAATAGTAAAATTTTGAAGGAAGTTTGTAAGCCAATGCCAACAGAAATTAAGTATTTCTGTACATTTTTCAGACGATTTTTACAATTAAAGGCGCAAAATTTTGTAAAAGCTATTATTCTTGTCGTTCTTATCACATCAAACACCAGCGTTCACATAAAGTGCAATGTTGATCTAAAAAAAATGAGAAATCAACCCGCCCTACTGAAGGTTGTTTTCTACCTTAGGTTTTATTCGAAGCAGTGTGGAATATCAACATCTTGGTTATACTATTATTTTCTCTTCCAATTCTATGTGCTATCTATTTTACAGGTTGCTGCTGTTGGAAGTCAATGTGATTTCTTTTATTTGGTACAATTCGTTGCCTGTGATTCTGTATCGCCAGTCTACAAAGTTCGAAGAACCATGGTCATCTTTATGACTTACAGGCTTCATTCGCTGGGGGCAGTTTTTACGTAAAAATTTGTACGTGTAGCATGTAGCGAAACGAATATAAGCGCGCAAAGCGGAACCGTGGTGACGAGTTCAAACCCCTTCATGGTCTCTGGTGTTCACATTCGTATTAATAATTGGAAAATGCAAAGATATATTACTTCTTCCTCACCACCGATGCAATACACCGGGCTCCCACGCCTTGAGTGACAGCCGCTCAAGGAGAAGGAAAACTGTATTCATAATCATGGAAACGAGAATAGGAAACGCCTCCATTTTATTTCCCAAATATTTATGAGAATTCGAAGGCTACAAACAAATAATTGTGTGGCGAGCCATGCTATCTAATGTCTCGAGGTGACTTGGCATTTAAAAAAATAATTAATACGGAAAGGAAATCCATGGATAGCTATGATCAACTACGTTCTAAAGAATTATGGTATTAAATAATACCCTTGAAAAAGGCATGAAACTATCTTTTTAGCTTCCGGTTAAATAGTAAGGTAGGCCAAACTGTCTAGATTTTCATGGAATCGAGTCTAGGAGAAAGACAACCTTGAATACAGAAACGTGGAAAAGGCATTGGAAGATGACTCCATTACCTTACCCAAGAAGTCGTGGTAATTTATAAATGATAAAGAAAAGGAAATTGTGGAGAGCCGTTATCGATTATATCCTAAAGAGACACAACTTCGAAAAAAAATATTATGTCAAAGAATCTCTTCTTCACACAGCTATGGGTTGAATAGTAGGGTAGATTGCTTTCTCCAACTTTTTGGGTAGCCAGTCTAGGAAGAGGACAATTATGAAATCAAAATTGTGGAAAAGGCAACAAACTTCGTAAGAAAACGACTATAACGAAAACTAAACTGTGGATAGCCATGATCATCTTGAAAGAATAATAGTAGTAAATCGGCGTCTCTGTTCCAAAAGACGAGAGAAAAAGCATAGAAAAGGGTAAAATTAACAGAACCTTACCCAGGTGCTAAAAAAAAAAAAAAAAAAAAACGATATATGATTGTAATAATTAATGGATCGCTTGGAACATTCATGGGGTTCTTTGTGATATGATTGAAAAAAAAATCTCATGATATCCGAAGAAGGGAAAAAAAACCCAAAAAACAACTTTATTAAGAATAGTGAGTGATGAAATTTTAACATGACTTGTTGTCACTTGTTCTCTAGCGTGTTTCACCGGCTACGGAATGAACTGATATAATCATCGAAAGGAATCTTCTAAAATAACGAATAATTAGATTTATTTTCAGGTTTCAGTGAAATATTTTAAAGGGTAGAAATGATAAACAACATTTTGAATTGTTTGGATATTTTTAAATATAAAAAGAAAAAGAAGAGAAAAATACATTTGTGTGAAAGGAAAACATGATATACAGTCTTCGTGAAATGTTGATAGCGCGTTGAATTCAACTGGCTTCGTCCGTCATTGAAAAGCAGGGGAAACAAGGTCTCTTTATCTAGTCAAAGCGAAAGGTCAACTTTTGTCTTTGTTTTTGTTGTTGCTGCTGCTGTTTTTAATTGTGGAGTTTGTTTTTAATTTTGGAAAAAAAAAAAAAAAGTTATTCATTTATCCACAAGGCCTCTTTTTTATTTTTTTTTTTTTTTTTGTCTCAGCACAAAATGATCTTAGATTTTTTTTCTGTAGATTTAGTAAAGACGAGGACAATAGTCCGAATAATGTAAATAGTGTACATAAGACCTCATCTCAGAAATATAGACAGATAATGAAGATAATTCTCATTCGATCTAAAAACATTGAAAACGGGAAAAAATATCTAAAAAAAAGCAATACTTAAAAAAATAAAACAATACTTAAAAAAAATAAAACAATACTTAAAAAAAATAAAACAATACTTACTTTATTTAGATTCATCGAAAAAATATTTTTAAATATATATTCTTTCTTTCACTTCTTTTATCTATTTTATTTACTTTTTTCTTTTTTTAGGTAAACATTTTTTATATGCCTGAGTAACTTACCAAACAAGATTTTTTTTTTTTTTTTTTGTGAATAAATGGCAGACAGGTAACAAAGAAGATGGTAAAGTGTTAAACTTTGCTCAGGGCTACAAGGGGCAGGAAGTTGAGGAGATCCATAATCGTCCATATCCTAAAAGGACATGGCACACACATATAAAAAAAAACAAAAGAAATAAGCAAATTCAAAA